AAAAAAAAAAAAAAAATTCCAGCCAGCAGGGAAAATATTTTCCCACCAAAAAGGCGAGAAAATGCACAGGTGTGAGGAAAATCCGAAAAATATTTTTCGTGAAAAATTTCGCCTATCAAACAGCCAACAAAATGGAAAATGGAAAATATTTTCCTACTTTTCCGGAAAACACGGCCTTAGATGTTCAAAGGGGTCGAATTTTTTCTTAATGATGAAGAGATGTAAGAGAGAGATAAATTGTATTTTTTGACAGAAAATGTATATCTACGTGGAGCAAAAAGTGAATTCATATCTTTTAATTGAAGCAGAATTTAAATTTAAATACATCATTTATTTGAAAATATTAATTTACATTCAATTTTACAACACTATTGGAGATACTTTTAGGAATAAATTATATCAAAATAATCATTTCAATATTTGAGAGTAGACTTGTTCTTATTCTCAATTTGGAAATTAAGTCCATGTTTGATGAGAATAAAATTAAATTTTTAGTAGATTTTAATAAAAGTTGATAAAATAGTTGATTGAAAAATCGTATTTCAATGAAATATATTATTAAAATTAATTATTTACTTATAATTAGACTTAAACTTAAGGTCCGTTTGATTGGTTTAAATTCCATGGAAATGTCACATCCGATGAATTCAATTTCTATTTTGACTGTTTGATTTGAAAGTAGAAATAAAGTTCGAATTTCAAGGTACAACCATTTGAAGCTTTTTTTTTTGCCCAATATTATGAAAAATGGATTCATATGTGGTTCTACGATTTTTATTTTTTAACTTTCATGGAATTGAAAAGTCTTTTCACCTTTACAATTGAAACGGACACATCGAAATCTATATTTTAATCTCTACAAATCAGCGACAAAATGTGTGAAGATTGATAGTAGTAAACTACCAATTTCATGTTAGTTGGAAAATAAAAATTCATAGGAATTTGTTTTCCATGAAAATAAAGAAAATAAGAGGCAAAGGTGGAAAGGAATTCAAATTTCATGTTAGTTGAAAAATAAAAACTCACCAAACCCATATGAATTCGTTTTCCATGAAAATAAAGAAAATACAGTTTAAAGTAGTTGTACTTTAGAATTCCATTTTCATTTTCACGTTACAATAAAACAGCCAAAGTATAATTCGTTTTCCTCGGATATGCCATTTTTCATGGAATTAAAATGGAGCCCAAATTGTTCAATTTGATGCAAACCCCCACTATGATTAAGTAGAATCGTATTGAGTCAACTGTTTCATTTTAATTTGATCTCTAAAATTCATTAAAAATTGTTATATTCATAGTATGGTCAACGAGAACACTAATAATCACACAAAACGTGTTGGCCCATTTTCCACCACTATTTAACCAACATAAAACGTCGCCTAACCATGCTCTAATCATAGTATTAACAGTAGCATTAGGATCACGAGCACCTAATTGTCGATAAACCTCTCTGTGTGGGCGGTGTAAGTAGGCTTCAATATTTTGACTTTTTCCTATTGAAGATGAGAAATCATTGTACATCATTGATGGACCAAGGCCTACCTAACAAATAGATTTTAGACGATTTTGATAAAAGGTTAATAAAATGTGTGATTAAAAAATTACGGATCGCATGAAATGTACAGTTAAAATTCCGAAATTCAGCTTTGAAAAGTGGTAAACACACAATATAAATTTAGAATTATTCTACTTGTATGTGTGACATAATGCACGAATGACATTCTGTCATTGGCTGGTGAAAATTGTTTTTTTTTTTTTTCACTAATTAATAAAAGAATGTCATTTGTACATCACATAGGGAGCACACCTCAATGTACATGTAGAAAAAGTCATAAATTTATTGAGAAAGTGGATAACGTCAATTAACACGAGAAATAAAACTATTTATAATAAGGAGATTGATCAATAATCCACTTAATAAGTGAATCTTTTGAGGTAGAATCTCACTTTCATACAAGTTGTGGTCAAATGATAAGCTCTGAGTTTTCCAATTGTTGATAAAATATATGGTTGGTTCTTTAGTCTACTGAGCATGTAATTTTTCTCGATTTAAGGAAAAGAGACAAATAAATTGTCGCGTGAAAGAAATTGATAGTTTTGATAGTTTATTCAAATGTCGAATATTAGGAAAGCGTTAATAATGTTCGACGTCGATTGGACATGGAAAAAACGATGGCCTTACAAGAAGGATTTGGACTACATGTAACATCGTCACATCACACATGTTAACGTTATTTCACATATAAAGGGCAAAACTGGAAGTGTGTATTCAATATATACAGGCCACACGCAACTGGCGTAGGCCAAATTATAGTGTGGGGCCCTATTTTGCAAATATTGATGCTTCCCAAACCAAAAGTTGACACGTGTATGTTATCACGTTATTGGACCTTACCAATGCTGTTCAATCGCGGTACTTTTATTTCTTTCTTCTACCCTTGGCAACGAACAATTTTTTTTTTTTTTTGCCTTTTCTTTTCCCCTTTTTCTCTTCACTTTGAGTAATTATCACTTCTTTAGCGTCCAAGGAATACGGATCGAATTATAGATGTCTATCGTCGATAGTTAATGCAGTTTGTGTTAACTTCGTCGAATAATATGCCCCTGTTTTGTGTAGATTAAAATCGAAATTTTAATAAATTTTGACAAAAGTTGATGAAATGTACAGTTGAAATATGTGATTAAACCCTTGTTTGACAATCATTATTTTGAAACTATTTTTCCTAAGTATTCATTTCAACACACATTTACGCAATAAAATAATGGATTAGAATCATTAGATAATAAATCCCGGTTTAAAACTCTATTTTCTTCAAATAATGGCTGTCAAATAGTAACTAAAATTAATTGTTGACTTTGACTTAAATTAAAATTTAGATTTTAACCTCTATCAAAGAGGGATTGTATATGATTTGTCGACTACATGTTTATTCATTAAGCCAATTGATTTGAGGAATATCATATCCTATAAACATTGCACTAGTCACTAGGAAAATGATTGGATTAGATAATAATACCTAAAAACTTGATAGCGAGTTTTCAACGGCCCATAATGAAATAGAAAACGATCAATTATGAGGCCCAATGTGGTAGATAAGATGCTCCTAATGTGTACGCGCTTACTGCTTATAGTGCCTGTTGAATTATATAAGTCTATTGTTATTGATGTTTGGTGCACATTGAAAGGAAATAATGTTTTTTTTTGTTGATGTGATGGTGAATACGTGGTTGAAAAAGAAGGAAAAATTATTGATATGATGAAAAATATTATTTTATTGAAATTAAGTGGTTAAAAATGAGTAGAATAATGAGAATGAAAAAAATAATGTGGACCAAACAGGGGCATAATTTCATTTCAGTAGTATTTTTTGTCAAAATAATTCATTCATTTTACACTCTCAACCTTTCTTCGTGTTTTTTTTTGTTTTTAACAGGACCTTGCTAGGGGTACATAAATTTTCATATAATGGTTTACATAATTACATGTGGCACTTAACTAACCTTTAATTCAAATCTCACACTTTCGCATCAACTATCGGATGATTGCCACATCATATTATGTACACCCTTATGTACAAAAAAAAAAAGAATAATCATAATTTCATTATCCAAACTTTATACTTTTTTTGCAAATTATAACCAATATTTTTATGGATCTTGCTAGGGGTATATAAATTTTCACCTAATTACATGTGGCACATATCCAACCTTTAATTCAAATTTCACACTTTCATATCAAGTACAAGATGATTGACACATCACAATATGCACCCCTTTATGTAAATAAATTATGTACAACAAGAATTATCCATATAGTGGGAGTAGAAAACACTAAATTGGCTTGAGTTTTAGTTACCTATTAATGCCTCGTTTGTCTTCTATTGTTTCAAAACATTGTTTGCTACAGTAAGATTTTT